ATCTCAGTTTGACACTTATGCTAGAGTTTTCAGTCTGTTGCTCTGACTCATCAGTTGTTTTGGAATTTTCAATCGCCTTCTTCCATTTTTGGTGCCGGCCTTTATTAACCCTGTACAGTGCAAGTATATTTACAATCAGAGCAGTACACTTCTAGAACATTAGGGCTAATAATGTTCACATGTTTTCCTGCTCTGACAGCCCCTCTAGGGGAAACCCTTTTGCATAAACGGTTGCGCAACTGGTCTCACAAGCAGCATGGCAAGAGACACAGAGGGGAGCATGCGAGAGTATACTAACATTGTCTTTCTTTAACTACATAACACAGCAGAATACTTGCCTGCAATTTTTTTTAACGGTTAATATAAGAGATTTGCTCAGTGTCACTGATCATGTTTTAACATTAATGTAATTGGACAGATTCTCAAAACACAGCACTGTTTTTAAATGCTCATTCTGTTAGGTGAATTTTTATCCACTTGATGGAAAAATGTGGAACATCAGTTCTATTAGGCATTGTTTTTCTCATTAAAGTTTTTATTCACTGGATATGTGACCTAATCAGAATGGATAACAGTAATCTGAGTCTTCTATACCTCATGCCTCTCCTTATCCCAGCCTTCAAAATTCAGAATACTTTGCGTAAGATGCAAGGCAGTCGCTTTTGGAGCCTACATGGAAAGAGAAGTGTCAATATGATTTTTTTGTATATTGTTTATGGCCTGCTTATATTTATCCCCCCCCCCCCCCCACAATCTCAGATATTGCACAGAATTCTTTACTTCAAAACATTCTGTTTTTAAGTTCCTGATACTATGGCAAATAACAATTCTTACACCCCTTGGGGAAAAGATTAGAATAGCTCTACTTGAGATATGCTAGCACACAAAAAAATCCTTCTATCAGGTACCAGGGGAACATAAGCAGGAAATTCTCTTTGCACGCACACCCTGCTTGTGGGGTTCCTAGAGAAATCTGGTGGGCCACTTTGGGAAGAAAATGCTAAACTGAACAGGTTTTTGGTCTCAACAAGCACAAATTTTCTTTTTTTCTTTCAAACATTTTTACCCTGCCTTTCTCCTTAAAAGGACCCAAGGCGGGTCTTTTTAAGGTCCAGATCTTTTCACGTTCTTAATCTCTCATCCCTGCGGTTCTTTTTCATCCAGTTCTTATAATTTGCAGAAGTTATGATCAGGTTGGAAGAAGCCAAGGTAGGGTAGTCATCATTAGGGCTCTACACAGGTCCCTTGAGGCTGTTTGAGCCTTTGCAACACATACTGATTCAATCCAGGACAAATTGTATGCCGTCCGATTTGATTTGTAGACCACATCCAAATTAGTTTCTGAGCCTCCCATGAACTTGCACTGAAAAAGCAAAAGGTTTTTCCAATTGCATTGGAGGTACATGAAAGCTGGAAACATGTTGGGCTCTAAAGAGGGGAGGAAACCTCAAAATTTCAGTCAGCTTCAAAGGTTGCATCAAAGGCACCTTGAAAGCTTGCTCCCATCTTTAAAAAAATCAACAACAAAAGAAAAGAAAAACAGAACAAACTAAAAACACTAAGAAGTTTGAAGCATGGAATGCTCTCATCCAGTCTGATTTGTGCATCAGACTCAAATCTGTAAATCCACTTTGCTCTGGAACTGAATCTGGCCATTCTGCTTTGATCTGGACCACACACGGCTTGGTCCAAATTAGTTAGTCATTCAAGGTTTGTCTGAATCCAGTTGTTAGACAAAAAACAGGGATGGCCGGGTTTAAGTTCCAGCTGAGCTATGAAGTTCAGAATGGGCCACCACCTGATCTACCTCACAGCTTAGGGCAGGAGAAGGGGAAGAATTGTGCATGTTGGCCTGAGTTCCTTGGTGAGAAGATAGGACATAAATGTGGGATTTATCGCAGCTATGAAAAGTGTGTGTCCATCCCCAAAAAGAACAAAACCAATCTGGATAACAACTATAAATATACCCGCTCTTAGGCTGGATATGCAGAACCAGACCTCCTGCCCAAGTCTGCTCTCCCTGCGTTTTGTATTCAGAAGAGCTACTGCCTTTGAGTGAAAGTAAAGTTTCGCCTTCTCTAATTACATCTGCCAATTCACTTGCAACTTCATCCCCATAAATAATTTAGTTGCAAAATTGTGGGAGGAAGGCTGCACTCATAAAACCAGGAGACTTGGCTTTAGCCCGGCTGAAAATAATTTATGAACACTGCTCCCTCTAAGTTAGCAGGGCACCCTGTGTGCCAGAAAACACCTTCCTTCTGAAAGTTCATCAGGAGTATTGTCAACCAACCAACGAGGATTTTTTAGCTTGATTTGTTCCAGCAGCCCTGGATTTAAGTCAGTTTAATCCAATTAACTTCCATTTAACTAATGTAAATCCAAGTTCTCTGGTACAAATGGTTTCTTTAATAGGCTATCAACAATGTCATTAATGCTAATGCTCAGTTAGCACTAAAATTTCCACCCAATTAAAGGAAAAAAGAGAGGTCTCAGCCCTGGAAATTATGTACTATGCCAGAGCTCACCCTTTGGATTCCAAGAAACAGAAAGAGATGAAAATGGTCAAGTGGGAACCTGTTGCTTTTTTGTCATCACTAGTTATAGAGAGTCTCCACCTACAGGCTCTTCAACAGAAGGGTCTGTGGACCACAGAACAGTGTTTTCGCAATAGACTTAATATCAGAGCATCTCCCCCATACGCACTGAGTATTGCAAACACCAAATATTGGAATTTACTTGTCAATCAGAACATGGGAAAGATGTAAAATTCTGGCCTGATGAGCGAACAACATTGATCAGTATTGGTGGGGGGTTTGTTGTTTTATTTTTAATTTTTAGAATTGTTGATGAATATTTCATAAGAAGGACTTCAAAAAGAAGCCAGGGCTCCTGGTACATTGGCACTTGCATGGAAAGGTGTGTGTGTCAATTAGTGCAGCTGGAACAACAAGTTACACCTGCTGACATCCTAATGTTTTCTCCATCAGGAAAGGCACAGGAGCCCAGGCCTCTTTTTTCCACACTATTGACCATGCAATTTTGCACTAACCACCCGCCCCAACTACTCCTTCCTTATTCTTTGTTATCTTGCTTCCTTACCATCTTGAGGACATTGAAAGCCAGCATGATACAGTGGTTAGTCAGGCAAGAGAGATCCATGTTCAAAACTCCACTGAGCAACAAAGCTGACATGGGGGATTTGGGAGACCAGCTACTGTCTCTCACAAGAGAGTATGGAGAATAAAAACCTGTGATGGAGGAAGATCCATGGGTGCCACCTTGAGCTCCTTGCAGGGAAGGTGCTATATAAATATCATTCAATTATTACAATGGGTTATTATCCCACTTTAGTCATATGTAGAGGCATACTTTGAGTGGACCCATTGAAATCCTGACTAAACAAAGCATGACCGATTGCAATAAGCCTAATCTATAACTCAGTCTGAATCTAGTCTGCAAAAAAAAAGCACAACCTTGCAGAATTTATTTTTGCATGAGTGACTTTAAGATTGGAAGAACACCTACATGTGTCCATACAGTAATGTGATAGAGCTGTCTGATGCTCAGCGGAGTGTTTCTGCTTTGAAATCAGTTCTCAGGAAGGAGGCCCTTGACACATACGCGTGCACACTCATAGCTGTCAAAGAAGCATCTTTAGTTCCTCCTTTTTCATTCATTATAATGCCATGGGCACAGAAAAGATGCTAGGAAATGAACCTCTTCCTCTTAAAAGGGAATTTCTACTGTGCTGAGGAGGCTACTTCCATTAGCTTGAGTGCATTTGGATTCTTTTCAATTTTTAATTTGATTTTCAAATGCATGTAGCCAGAGTGGCATAGCTGCCTGTCCATTGAACAATCCATTTCCTGCAAGCCAGAGTGCAAAACGCAGCCTGTTAGGCCTATAATTTCTTCTAATTGCGTCTGTGTCAAAAGGGGATGGGAACCTGTTCTCCCCCTTCGTTGGGGCCAAAGATGGTTTGGCAAGGACACCTGGCAGACTTTCCTATGTCAGCAATGGAACAGCTTGACCCACCAATGCTCTTACTGTAGAAGGTGGGGGCGGGGAAAGAAATTTGCAACTCATTATTCAGCTGCTTGCTTCTGGTTTCATTCTTGATCTAGACACCCATAAAGAGAGCTCTAGAGTATGGGAAAGTGAAAGAAGTCGGCAGAAGGGCCTAAGTTGAGGTTCCAGTGAGTAAAAGGATGATTTTTTTTTTCAGGCAGCTAGCACTGATCCTGACTATTCTCTCCCTGCCCACTCTAAACAACACACATATATACTCACACTGCAACAAAATAAGGCAGCAGAAAGAGGTCAGATATTGGATACAGTTGGGGCTGCCATTTATCTTTTAAAACTGGCTCTTCCCCTAATATGCAAACACTTTGGAAATGAATCTTCTCTGGCATGGAGATAATGGGGTAAGAAGATATTCCCTGCTTGATCGCTGTGTATCTATCAAGTTTCTGTTAAAGGACACTGTAAGAGAGCCAATGAAACTCAAACTTCACAAATGTAGCACAGTCCAGAATAAAATGGGCAGCATCTCTGCATGCATGGGGAAGTTGTGGGTGTGTGTGTGAGGAGTTGGCCTTGATTTTTAATCTACCGAATCCCCTTCCTGAATCCCCGGACCTGCTATTTAATCTCCCTCCAACTGAAAGATTTCTTATGAAAATTAACAGTTGCAAATGCAGAGGAGAATACAAAGAGATGGAAATTATTTGTTTTTGGTAGTACAAGTCCCAGAATCACTGCTGGGTTTTAGGAACTGTGGTTCAAAAAGCAAACTTTTTTTGTTCTTACGTGAGTGTACCTTTTTGTGTACACACACGTTACCCTCTTAAGTTGCAGTCACACACCTCTTTGTTGTTTTCTGCTAAGCTGAGTGCAGTCTGTGGCCCTTCAATGATCATGATGTGCAAACAGAGCAAATTCAAATCTCTCTCCCCAACCCCCATATCCAGAGGAGGATGTCATTGCCAAAAAAGACAGGAGCACAGGTTTAATCTGTACAGACGTCCACAGAGTAAATGAGCTGCCCGATGATTTCTAGCAGCTGTTTTTGTGAGAACACATAGTTAAAGGAGGGAAATAATTTATGTGGCACACAGACATATATATACACACTCTTTCTCAATGCAAACTAAGGGCCAAAGCACATGTTCAGAGAAATCTATTTCTAGAAAATCAGTTTCCCCCGAGTGGCAAAAAAGGTGTAGTTGTGAAAACATGTTTGGAAGGGGAAGCATGTGTATCATCAGGATTACCTCTGGAATGTAAACAATGGCTTCTTTTGCACGTCTAACTCTGGCGCTACAAACAAAGCTGACCACATTGACTGGAGGAAAATGGTATAAGAGCAGCAAAGATGTGTTTCTCTGAATGTGCTTTGACCCTGAGACACATGACACATTTTTTTTCTTTCAAAATCATTGGCAGCTGCCCATCTTGACCTCCTCTTTGGAGAAATGACATGGAAAGAGAATTCAAGAAGGCATGTGACTTAGAAACTCCTCACCCACCACAAGTTCTGCCCGGACATTGTTCTCCCATTGGTGGTGCCACAATCATCCTGCACATGTCCTTTAGTGGACAATTCACACGTGCATGTGGCACTGCAAGCATCTGACTGACTTATGTTCGGAGCTTAACAAATGAATGCATTGTTAACCCTCCTCTGTTGGGGGGGGGAATATATATATATATATATATTGCAGATATAGACATATATATTGTTTACAGAGTGACTAGAAATGCTTCAGTGAAACAGGCAAATTAGGTGGTACTATAGCAATGGATTAATCTTTTTGACCTAACAAATTAATATTATTAATGTTTTAATTTTTATCATATAGACTCTTATTCTGTAAATTGCAATAATTTACAGTGCCCCAGGCCCACTTCTATAGATGATACTTCCGTAATAGTTCTGATTGCCAGGGATGTTTCCTTTCTGGAAACCTGTCTGGGATTTTGATTTTGAGGAAATCCTGGATGCATTTTTCTAATTCTTCCTCAATGGAGAGCTTCTCTTTCACTGCTTTTTTTTTACTGGCATTGGATTCCCGTGAGCCAGAAGTTAGAGTTCGAAGCAGCTCACTTCTGTCACTTTTCCTTCGTATTTCAGACTGTGGGAGGAGCTGAACAGGGCCCTTCTTGACGGGTCGATCCAGAGTCTGTATCTTGGTCTGGCGGGTGACTGGGCCACAGATGACAGTCTCTTGAGGGGAGCTGGCTTCTGATTGGCTATCGCAGCTAGAGGTGGAAAGTTCATTGCAGGATGTGCCACTTTCACCTTCTTTGTCACCTTTGCCATTCTTGCAGCAGCAGTCACAATGTGATGAAGACCATCTTGAGGGCTCACCTGGAGGACAGATCAAGAACATGGCAGGGTTACCCTCTGTTATATAGACCGGTTAAAAATCAGAAACACACACAGTGTAACTTTCATTTGTATGTTATGTAATATTCCGTCAAATCGGAATGGACTTGTAGCAACCCTAGTAGGGTTTTAAAGGTAAGTGAGGTATTTAAGGAGTGGTTTTATCAGTTCCATGAGTTTCCATGCCTGAGCAGGGATTTGAACCCAGGCCTCACACTATCCACTATATCACAATGCATATCCCTTCATCTGTACACCCGGAAATAAAGATTATATAGCATGAAGTCTACTTTTCTTTAACCGTAACAATTCCAATAGTATTTTGCCTGTGTGGTTGTTTGTTTCATTCTACAGGAGCACTGAGGTGTGTGACTTTGGGTGGTTTTCTGGTGATACAGTAAGTTGGGGCATGATGTTTTGGGACAGCAGGAACACCCACCCCTGCCATCTTTCTCCTTAGTCACCTCGAGTATTGTTTGGTTTATTTTTAAAAAATAAACGAATGAGCACTAGATCACCTTCACAGAGACAAAAAAAAAGATGATAAAAATTGATATAAAATCGAATCAACTCCAATAAATTCCAACACAATGTTTCTATGGTATGTGTTTATATTTGCACATGTATGGAGAACTTTGGAAAATTGTCCCATTTCCCCTACCGGTGTGTAACCCGTCAAATAGTCCCAGTGGCTTAATGGCAGAGCATAAAAGTTGACATGGGTCCCTTTGAGGAGAAAGACAGACTAAAAATATTCTCAATCAACCAATAAAAGGAGAGAGAGGAATCAGCAAGGGGGTGATATCAAAGGAGGGGGAGGGGGCTGTGGATGCAGATCAGACTGTATCGGATTGAAGGGCCAGCGTGGACACAGGATCTGAAACAACCTGGGATCACTTTAACCAAATGCAGTTGCAAAATCAAGGTGATGTAATTGCATCCTGAGAGATCATTGGCTGTTTGTCTGTTTCTGTGTTTAGAATTATATATATATATATATATATATTGAGCATGTTCATTTACTTAAATTTAAATAAGAAACAAACAGTGTTTAGGTCTCTCATATCATATGATTGGGTTCCTCTTGGAGACATGGCTACAGGACTTTAGAATATTCTATAGCACTGCTGGCACTGGTATTTTGATTGTGGGGGGGCAGTATTTATGTTAAAACAAACAAAACTTAATGTTTACGACTGTAATTCTCTGACCAGTGGCATTCCACTGCAATCAATAGGGCATAAATGAACATTAATAGGTGCAGTCTTACAGACTGATAAATATGCCATAATTGGTTCCCTTTCCTTTTCATGAACACTTAGCTGAGGATTTGCCCAAAGTAAAACTCAGTCAGCAAGAGAAAGAACTCAGAGGGTTTTTTAAGAGGATGGGGGGGAGGGGAAACTTAATTTTCTTCTAAATGAACAAAATATCCCACCAGCCTCTCATGAGTGAATGAACAAATCACCGAGTTAATCATTGACTTACATGATTTATATATCCTCCATCTTCAAGGAAAAGATAATAACCAATTTCGATTTTCAGCAGAGGCCTCAAATAAGAGAAGTTACTTTATTTAATGACAACTCTTAGAAATCTTCTGATCTACTTTTCCCGGGCCATTCTTGTTAAGAAGTCTGCAGGCTGCGGGCTGTAGCCCAATGAACTCTTTAGTTTTTTGCATAATACTTTTGATCTGTGGCACAGATTGAAAATATTATGCAAATACTTCTGGCACAGAAGAAGGGCTGCTAGGTTAGTAGTATTACATTTCCTGAAATTTCAGTACCAAAATCAGAGGCCAGGGGTTTGCCCTTGTAATCTCACGAAAAGATGGGCCTTTATGGGTGTCCTTTTTTGGGTCCTTCAGAGTCTCAAGAATGCTCACAAGCACATTCTGGTGTTCGACTTTCTGTCTTGTTCCAACAGGACAATGGGGCCAAGCAGATGTACTCACTTGGTCTCTCCACACTCTCTGCACCTCACTCCTGGTTTTTGATGCACTGATCTTATACAAGAACAATGGGAGTATACATACTTTCATGCTGAGCCAATGAGCCATGACAACAGTTGAGAATGGGTGGAGAGAGCTGCCATGACCATAAATCCACCACAGAAACAAATGTCAAGCTCCCACCCACCAACCCGCCACTACTACTTATTCTTAGACTTGTCTCCATACCTGGAGACCTGGGGAACCATAGCAAACCCTGAGACTTCAGCTGGTGCCTCAAACACCTGACAGACTTACATATGTGGGAAATTAGAATACAAATTCCCAAAGATGTAGATCAGGTGAATCGATATCTATTGTATCTTTTTGTATAAAATCCAGGTGTCAGGATTTTGTCTCATTTCAGGCCAACAACCAAACAAACCAGAACTGAGAGTTAGATGCTGAAAGCAGGACCAAGTCTAAGGCATGACAGCCACCAAGTATCACACTTGTTTGTTTTTTCTTCTACTGTTGTAGCAAATACTTGCTAAATTCTGTCTTCTTATGAGTTTAAGGTGTCTTGGCTTGATGAGACATGTCACAAGCCTTACAAGAACCTTCAGGCAAGAACAAAGAGTTCCTTTTTTCCTTCATCAGAATCTCTGTAATTTGTGCATACTGTCTCTGTTCAAAGCTTGTATCCTTTCCCATTGAGAAGCAAGAAGAACAACAAGAACAAGAATCACAAAATTATTCATTCATTCATTTTATTTAAAATATCCCCCCATCTTTCTCCTTCAAAGGACCCAAGCAGCCTACATCCACATTACAGCTGGTTGACTGATTTAGAAATGCAACCACCTCAACTTTGGGAGTTTGAAAGTGAATAGTAACTACCTGTAATTAATTCCTGATAATAGAATTGTAACTGCACTACAATGCATTTGTAATATTACTAGCAATATCATTTTAAAAACATTACTAGCACCTTCATTTTAAAAAGTAACCTAATGGTAACTGTTTTAGTTGCTCTTGACAAATAAGACAGTGAAGAATTGTGTTTTTTTTAAACTGAAATTGGAACAGTAAATCAATTCTTCTTGCAGGTCTTACAGCTGTAATTGTAACCAACTATTTTCTAAAAGAAACTGTTCAAGCTCTGATGTAACTTCAGCTGCTAAGCACACATTTAAAAATACAACAATTTTACTGAAGCAAAACAAGACTTTCCAAAGCCATAATGAAACATGCACAACTGAAAAAAGTCCCCTAGACATGCTAATTCAGTCTTTTATTTTTCTATACCTGCAACACGTGTTAACAAAATAATCACAGTTTATAGAAGCAGTAAGAAAACAGCTTCTTTCTCCCACTATGCTACCAGTTCTTCTCTTTTCAGGATGAAACCGCCTGACAGTCGATGAAATGTGTGGCTAATTTAATTTACAGACTTATTTGAAAGTCCTTCTGAATCTAGTATTGGAGTGTATCTGTGTGGAAGTCAATAATGGCTAAATTGAATTTTTTTTGTTTGTTTTGCTTTTTTTAAAATTCTTCCAGCTTTCGAAAAGGCAGAACACAGAGAAGCTTAGTTAAAACGGACAAGGTGGACTTTTGAAAAATGAATCCATGAGCCAGATCAATTCACAGGTCTTTAGTCTAGCTGATATTTTAACAGAAAGGTAATGCTAGCTGGTGCTACCTATTGTTTACTTGCAAAAAAGAGAAGAAATTCAGAACAAACGTAGCTCACAGTCACAGGATGAATTACTCGGGTAAAATTCAAGGAACTTTTTAATAATACCTCGGAAGCAAAGTAACAGATAGAGATGGACTAACTAGATTTTTGAGAGATTAAAGATATAAATCTTTCTCTCTTCCCCACTCCCAACAAGATAAGTATGTCAAACCAAAATCTCAGCAGTCATAAATACACTTTCTTGGTTATATTTCTGATCCATCAGTTGCTTTTTGGTTCAGAGAACAAGACTAGAGAAATCCATAAATTTGCTTCAAACTATTTTTTGATCCAGTTTATATGCACAGCAGAACTGAAGTGGCAAATATTTTCTTGGACTGTACTATTTCAGAGTACATGCTGGGTGTTGCGTGGCTGAGCATTTTGCTATATGACAACACTCCACTTTGAGAAAAATAGGAGGTCAGAGTAAAGGTTAGATTGAAGCACTCTCTGTGGCATGCCAGTTCCTCATGTAAAAAAAAAATAGTAGGTTCAAATATTGTAGCAGTTTCCCCCACACCAGCAAATTTTGTTTCTTCAAAAAAAGATGGTATTGTGGCACCAATGACTGTATCCATCTTAACGATGACCCTATCTCCACAATATGTATTTACATAAAAATCTGTCACTATGTTTTCACTCGAAGGTCAAATCTCTATTGGCATAAAACAAATGGAGTAACTTTGAAAGGAGAATGACTTCAAATTACGAAATAATTGTAGATGTTACCTATTGTGCACTAAATGTCTATGGTGATTTCTTGACTTGGAGCAATTCATTTTAGTGAAGTTACACTGCTTGAATCACGCTGGTGTGTGTACATAGGGGTTTCTCCCATGTTCTCAGGAAGTGGATTGTAATCCACAAGGATTTGCACAAATCTGTCAGTTCATAAGGTGCTACAGTATCTACCTTCTGTCTTTCCCTCCTTTTTTTGTTCTTTTGTTTTTTGTTAAAAGCAAGTTCAAACATGTCATCTTCTCACTTGTCAGCTGAAATATTCAGGATGATATTTACCAAGAAATTCTACAGAATGTATAGACTGATCTTGCTCCGCATGACTATAGTATGAGGTGGGCCAGGAGAGAATGTAATTTCAAAGGATTTTGAGCTGAGTGTACAAATTTGTGAGTTTACAAGTTCATGTGCAGTTTTTTTCCCCTCCATATTGCACTGTATACTGTTTCTTGCTTGGAAAGTTAATTCAAAAGGAATTAATGGCCAGAATCATTTTGTTGTTCACTTCAGCTTTGCATTCATTGGGTTAATTACAACTGAATAACAAGGGTGCATCTTGGTCATGTG